TTTTTTTGTATTTTTTTTTTAGTAGAGACGGGGTTTCACCGTGGTCTCGATCTCCTGACCTTGTGATCCGCCCGCATCGGCCTCCCAAAGTGCTGGGATTACAGGCGTGAGCCACCGCGCCCGGCCGCAAATATAAGTTTTAAAAGAGGAATGAAGATGGCAGTATGTTAAAATACACATTTACATGCAGGATTTAAAGGAATACAGCTGGGTGGGCTGGCTCGCACCTGTAATCCCAGAACTTTGGGAGGCCAACGCAAGTGGATCACTTGAGGCCAGGAGTTTGAGACCAGCCTGGCCAACATGGCGAAACCCTATGTCTACTAAAAGTACAAAAATTATCTGGGCATGTATCTGTAGTCCTAGGTACTCAGGAGGCTGAGGCACACCCTGAAGCAGAGGTTATAGTGAGCCGAGATCATGTCACTGCACTCCAGCCTGGGTGACAGTGAGACTGTCTCAAAAAAATGAAAATTAAAGGAATACAAATGTTAAAATGCAAATAGGTGCTTTACATTTACTCTTTTGGAAAAAATTCTAATGTAAAAGTGTAAGTAAATGTAAGAATAAGAAACATCTAAATATGTACTCATCTTTCCTGTCTTACCTGTGTCCTTGTCCCACCACTTGAACCAATCTTTGGTTCACAGAATATGTCTACGGTTTTTAAATGACGGGCTCTAAACCAAAGAAAGAAGAGTACTTTAGATGAATATTATTAGGGGTAGGATGTGAACTGCATTCATAAATGCCAGACTCCAGGGGTGAGTTAAGTTCTATTGGGTTTGTATGTTATTGAGAGAAGAGAAAAGGATTTTCTGCCTTTTTTTTTTTTTTTTTTTAGATGGAGTTTCTCTCTTGTTGCCCAGGCTGGAGTGCAATAGCTCACCACAAACTCTGCCTCCCGGGTTCAAGTGATTCTCCTGCCTCAGCCTTCCTGAGCTTTCCTGAGTAGATGGGCATTACAGACATGTGCCACCATGCCTGGCTAATTTTGTATTTTTAGTGGAGATGGGGATTCTCCATGTTGGTCAGGCTGGTCTTGAAGTCCCGACCTCAGGTGATCCGCCCTCCTCAACGGCCTTCCAAAGTGCTGGGATTACAGGCGTGAGCCACCGCACCTGGTGAGAAAAGGATTTTCTCGTCAGGGTAGAAAAGTCTGCAGTAATGCAGGGTTTGTGTAACAAATAGTTCGATAGTGTTTCATACTACTAACTAGCAGGTAAGATGATCTTACTGGCCATTTTGCCCTGGAAGGTCACAGCATATGCCTATTTTCTGGGACGGATGTTTTACCTTTTTTCCTTCTCAAAAGTATTCTGGTTTGTATAATAACTTGTATATTTTCAGAAGAGATTAGAGGTTTACTGTGTGCTCATTGGCAAGATTTTCCTTCTATACTAATAAAGTAATATAACGCACGTAAGTGGGTACTGAAATATTTGTTATATTGGGTATGGCAGGCTGGGCGGGGTGGCTTATACCTGTAATCCCAGCACTTTGGGAGGCTGAGGTGGAAGGATAGCTTGAGTCCAGGAGTTCAAGACCAGTCTGGGCAACATAGTGACATCCCATGTCTTAAAAATTTTTTTAAAATATATATTGGCTGTGGGAAATGTAAATTTATAGGGCAGAAAGTTGCAGTTGAGCATGATAATGAAAATAGGATTATTTTTGCCTTTTGAGTTGGAGGAAGAAAAAAAATAGTAGGGCAGTGACTGAGTAAAATTAAGATACATTTATATACAAGATTGCATAAAAGATTTTTTTTATTTTTCTTTGACCAGCAGGCAAGAAGAAAACAATGTCTAGAAACATGGACTCTGGGACCAGCCTGCCTGGGTCTAAATCTCTGCTGAGACTGAGCCACTTTTTGTTTACCTTCCTTCCTTCTGTTTCCTTGAGAATGGCCAGGAGGTGGAGGTTGCAGTGAGCCGACATTGTGCGCTGCACTCCCGCCTGGACGACATAGCAAGACTCTGTCTCAAAAAAGAAAAAAAAAACAAAGAAAAAATAATAATAATTATTATTTTTTGAGATGGCGTTTCGCTCTTGTTGCCCAGGCTGGAGTGCAATGGCGTGATCTCGGCTCACCACAACCTCTGCCTCCCGGGTTCAAGCGATTCTCTTGCCTCAGCCTCCCGAGTAGCTGGGATTACAGACATGCACCACCACACCTGGCTAATTTTGTATTTTTAGTAGAGATGGGGTTTCTCCGCGTTGGTCAGGCTGGTCTCGAATTCCCGACCTCAGGTCATCTGCCTACCTCAGCCTCCCAAACTGCTGGGATTACAGGTGTAAGCCACCATGCCCAGCAAAGAAAAAAAAAAGAACTATTTTGATATTTAATATTGATGTTTGAGGTTGAGGTATATTTAAGTTCGTTTGTGTAGTTAGCCATTAGCTTTATCAGCTGACTAATTGAAGTTATGGCTCAGTATTTTCAGGATTAAATAGTAAATGTTAGGTACCTTTTTGTTGTGTTTTGTTTTTTGTTTTTTTTGAGATGGAGTCTCGCTGTGTCACCCATGCTGGAGTGCAGTGGCGTGATCTCCGCTCACTGCAAGCTCCGCTGCCTCCCGGGTTAACGCCATTCTCCTGCCTCAGCCTCCCTAGAAGCTGGGACTACAGGCGCCCGCTACCACGCCCGGGTAATTTTTTTGTATTTTCAGTAGAGATGGGGTTTCACTGTGCTCTCCAGGATGGTCTCAATCTCCTGACCTTGTGATCCGCCCGCCTCGGCCTCCCAAAGTGCTGGGATTACAGGCGTGAACCACCGCGCCCGGCCGGTACCTTTTTTAAATGGAGACAGGGTCTTGCTATGATGGCTAGGCTGGTTTCGAACTCCTGGCCTCAAACGATCCTCCCATTTTGGCCTCCCAAAGTGCTGGGATTACAGGTGTGAGCCACAACACCCAGTCTGTTAGACATCTATTAATAGATAATTCTTTATCTTTTTTTTTTTTTTTTTTGAGACAGTCTCACTCTGTCGCCCAGGCTGGAGTGCAGTGGTGCAATCTCGGCTCACTGCATCCTCCCCCTCCTGGGTTCACGCCATTCTCCTGCCTCAGCCTCCCAAGTAGCTGGGATTACAGGCGCCCACCACCACACCTGGTTATTTTTTGTAATTTTAGTAGAGACGGGGGTTTCACCGTGTTAGCCAGGATGGTCTTGATCTCCTGACCTTGTGATCCACCCGCCTCAGCCTCCCAGAGTGCTGGGATTACAGGGGTGAGCCACCGTACCTGTCCTAGAATTCTTAATCTTTAATGAAAGGATTCATGAATCTCATGCTGAATTTTCTAGGGAGAAATTTGTAACTTTGATTATATTTCAGAGCAATTTGTGACCCCCAAAAGTTTAAGTGTCACTAACCTATGGTGGCATCAGCTGCTTTTGATGAATGACAGATGCCGTCTGATTGAGATAGTGGGAATTTTAGGATATAAATCCTGTCTTTTCCGCTGGTACTAGAGTACCAGTAATAATACTGATGATAATATTGATGAATAAACTTCAGATTTTCTTTCACAATAGAGGGCAAGTGAATTCTGATTTTTGACAACTTGGAGAGGTTGGTGGAAACAACTTAGGGTGGTCCAGTTTCCTTGCTGTTCAAAGTATTATCTGTAGATAGCAGCAAGCTCCTTTAACCCAGGGGTTTGTTAGAGTAAGAACTCTGGTTTGTTACAGTAGAAACTCTACCCCTGAATTACTGAATCAGTCTGCATTTTATCAGAATCCCTAGTTGATTCTTTTTTTTTTTTTTTTTGAAGATAGTGACTTGTTCTGTCCTTCAGGCTGAAGTGCAGTGGCATGATCTTGGCTCACTGCAACCTCTGCCTCCCGGGTTCAAGTGATTCTCCTCTGCCTCCTGAGTAGCTGGGATTACAGGCACCCACCTCCACACCTGGCTAATTTTTGTATTTTTAAAAATTTTTATTTATTTTTTGAGATGGATTTTTGCTCTGTTGCCTAGGCTGGAGTGCAGTGGCACAATCTCAGCTCACTGCAACTCCTGCTTCCCGGGTTCAAGTGATTTTCGTGCCTCCTGAGTAGCTGTGATTACAGACGTGCACCACCAACCCCATCTAGTAGAGATGGGGTTTCACCATGTTGGCCTGGCTGGTCTTGAACTCCTAAACTCGGGTGATTCGCCTGCCTCAGCCTCCCAGAGTGCTGGGATTACAGACGTAAACCACTGAGCCCAGCCTGGGGACCCTAGTTGTCATCCGGTGGCTGTTTTCTATATTCATTTCTTTCTTTTCTTTTTAATTTTTGAAACGGAGTCTCACTTTGTTGCCCAAGCTGGAGTGCAGTGGCGTGATCTTGGCTCACTGCAGCCTCTGCTCCCCAGGTTCAAGTGATTCTCCTGCCTCAGTGTCCCAAGTAGCTGGGGCTACAGGCGCATGCCACCATGCCCACCTAATTATTATATTTTTAGTAGAAACGGGGTTTCACCATGTTGGCCAGACTGGTCTTGAACTCCTGACCTCAGGTGATCCACCCACCTTGGCCTCCCAAAGTGCTGGGATTACAGGCGTGAGCTACCCTGCCCAGCCCCTAGACTCCTTAGGATTAAATCCTGGTTTTTTCTTAATAGCTCTGTAACTTTGGGCAGATTACTTTACCTTGAAGTAAAGTAACTTTTTCCTTATCTGTAAAATGTGGATGATAATAGGCCTTAACTGAAATTGTTATGAAGATGAATTAAATGTTCCATAAATGTTATTACTATTCTCTGAATGAGTGAAGAATTCCCACTTTAATTTTCATTTTTACTTTTTGTAGAATAGCCCTAAGCATTTTCTGGTAGGATTCTGAAGTTACTTTGGAAGAAATGACAGTTGTTTTTTTTTGTTTTGTTTTTCCCCCTAAGTGCTTGTAACTTAGTAGTAGCCCTCTCAGTATTGGAGATATAAAAATTGAACCTGGATGATTGATCTGTCATGGGGCAAAATACATTTAATCAATTTATACATTTTATTTCTGTTTTACAGCATTTATGGGGTTAAGTGGCATGGGATTTCTGTTTCTGATAGTAAATAGGTAAGTAAAACAAAAGGTTATGTATGTCCAAAGGGATGGTTTTACCGTATTTATGGTGATTTTCTTCCTAACTCTTGGTTCTGTTACCTTAGTCTATAATTTCTTAGGACAGGAAGATATCATTTTCACAAGAAGTTGATGGTTCTCTTTTTTCCTTTCATTTTTCTCTCTCTGAAGGTAGAATTTAGCATTAAATGGGACAATAATCAGGACTGCCTTTGGCTTATTTGGGGATGACATATTGCTTAGAAATGAGGGTGGTGATTGAACCAGCAGTTTTACAGATAGTTTATTTTTATTTATTTATTTATTTATTTTGTTTTTGAGACAGAGTTTTGTTCTTGTTGCCCAGGCTGGAGTGCAATCTTGGCTCACTGCAACTTCTGCCTCCCTGGTTCAAGTGATTCTCCTGCCTCAGCCTCCCGAGTAACTGGGATTATAGGCATGTGCCACCACACCCAGCTAATTTTGTATTATTAGTAGAGACGGGGTTTCTCCTTGTTGGTTAGGCTGGTCTCGAACTCCTGACCTCAGTTGATCTGCCTGCCTCAGCCTCCCAAAGTGCTGGGATTACAGGCGTGAGCCACCACGCCCAGCCTACAGGTAGTTTAGATCTTTTTCTTGAATATCTATGTGCTGGCATATTATGTATGTGTTGTCAGATAGTTTAGCATGCATTTGGACAATTTACATCATTTAGTAGATATTTATACAACTGTGTAATCTCAAGGGCTTCTAATCCTGTGGAAGTGAGCAAGATTTTGATGGCAGTCTAAACTGTGGTGAGAAGATGAATAAAACTTGGCTATTGGCTGGACGTGGTGGCTCACGCCTGTAATCCCAGCACTTTGGAGGCCAAGGCAGGTGGATCACAATGTCAGGAGTTTGAGACCAGCGTGACCAACATGGTGAAACCGCGTCTCTACTGAAAATACAAAAATTAGCCGGACATGGTGGTGGGCGCCTGTGATCCCAGCTACTCAGGAGGCTGAGGCGGAGACTCGCTTGACCCCACGAGGCAGAGGTTGCAATGAGCTGAGATCATGCCACTGCACTCCAGCCTGGGCGACAAAGTGAGACTCCGTCTCAAAAAAAAAAAAAAAAAAAATTGTATTGGCTATCTAGAATCTAAATGAAAAGATAGATTTTATTCTAGCTAAACTGACTTAGGGGCTGCCGGCCATCAGTGAACGTATTAGCATGCAAAAAGACATCACTTTGGAGATTGTAAGAATTTTAGTTGTATATGGATGCTATCATACACAATTAAAATACACTGTAAAGTATTTATTTTACAGTATCACAGATAGTGAACATTTCCCATACTTTCTAAAAATTTTTCTCCATTTTTCAAAACTTTTTAGAGATAATTCAGTCTTGCCTTGTTCAGGGATATGTCTTGAGGGATGTGTCATGGATTTCATTATGTGAACATCAGAAAATATTTACACAAATCTAGATGGTATAGCCTACTACGCACCTAGGCTATATGGTATGGCCATTATAATCTTGTGGGACCACTGTTGTACATGCAGTTTGTGCTTGATCAAAATGTCATTAATGTAGCACATCACTGTAATTATAGATTCATGAAGTTGCAAAACAGGGTACAATGTGGTCCTGTGAAGTCGTTGCTCAGTTTCTCATTGTAGTAGCACCTTCCATAACTATACTATGGTATAATGAGCAGCAAATTAACATTGATACAGTCCACAGAACTTACTCAGATTTTAACAGTTTTCCGTACAATCTGGTTTTAAGGATCTGGTATATTCTATTTTATGGATGAACTACAGTTCACCTCTATGGTTGGATGTGTGTAAAATTAGTGTGGTAAGCATCCTTGCACTTAACATGTTTTTATATATCTCAGTTTCTTGCGAGTAAATCTGACAAGTACAATTTTTGGATCAAAATTGTGTATTTAAGGGTTTTAATAAACATTGCCGGCCGGGCGCGGTGGCTCAAGCCTGTAATCCCAGCACTTTGGGAGGCCGAGACGGGCGGATCACGAGGTCAGGAGATCGAGACCATCCTGGCTAACATGGTGAAACCCCATCTCTACTAAAAAATACAAAAAACTAGCCGGGCGAGGTGGCGGGCGCCTGTAGTCCCAGCTACTCGGGAGGCTGAGGCAGGAGAATGGCGTAAACCCGGGAGGCGGAGCTTGCAGTGAGCTGAGATCTGGCCACTGCACCCCAGCCTGGGCGACAAAGCGAGACTCTGTCTCAACAACAACAACAACAAAAAAAAAAAAAAAAAAAAAAACATTGCCAATTCTTCAGAAGAGTTATACAAATTATAGCAATGAACTGATTTTTCCTTTTCATGCTTATCAAAATAGTATTGAATCTGGGCTATTGAATAGGGTAAAAATGATATTTTATGATAATCTATTCCAGTCTGTCCTTTGCACATTTTCCCTGTTCGGCAAACAATCTTGGTAATTTGTAATTCTGTTGTTTTAACAGTATTGTAACCTTTCAGGTCTTTTCTGTTTTTATTGTTGTTGCTGTTGTTGTATTGTTCTGTTGAGACAGGGTCTTGCTCTGTCATTCAGGCTGGAGGGCAGTGGCATGATCTTGGCTTATTGCAACCTCCTCCCATTCTCAAGCCATCCTCTTGTCTCAGCCTTCTGGGTACCTGGAACTAGAGGTGTATGTTGCCATGCCTGGCTAATTCTTGTGATTTTGTAAAGACAGGGTTTCACTGTGTTGCCCAGGCTGATCTTGAATTCCTGGGGTTAGGCGATCCCTCAGCCTTAGCCTCCAGAAGTGCTGGGATTACAGACATGCACCACTGTGCCTAGCCTATACCTGTATATCTCTACAGTGATTTTGTTTGTTAATACAAATGGTAATATAAAGTGCTTATTGTTTTGCAGCTTTACTTTTTTCACTGAACAATATGCATTGGAACAATTTCCATGTTGGTGAATGTGTCCTATTTTGGTTTTCTTAAACTTTTATGGCATTCCACATTAAGAGATAGACCATATTTAACTATTCACCTGTAGGTGGACGTTTAGGTGGTGTTCAGTTTTTCACTTGTGGGTTCAATACTGCACTATACAACCTTTAATATGTCTTCTTGTGTGCATCAGTGGCTTTTAAAATGTATAGTGTTGGCCGGGTGCAATGGCTTACGCCTGTAATCCCAGCACTTTGGGAGGCTGAAGCAGGCAGATCACGGGGTCAGGAGTTCAAGACCAGTCTGACCAATGTTGTGAAACCCTGTGTCTACTAAAAGTAAAATATTAGCCGAGCGTGGTGGCGCACACCTGTAATCCGAGCTACTCAGGAGGCTGAGGCAGGAGAATTGTTGAGGCTGAGGCGGAGGTTGCAGTGAGCCAAGATCGCGCCATTGCACACCAACCTGGACAACAGAGTGAGAGATCTGTCTCAAAAAAATAAATAAATGAATAAAATAAAATGTGTAGTCTTTTTTTTTTTTTTTGAGACGGAGTCTCGCTCTGTCGCCCAGGCTGGAGTGCAGTGGCCGGATCTCCGCTCACTGCAAGCTCCGCCTCCCGGGTTTACGCCATTCTCCCGCTTCAGCCTCCCGAGTAGCTGGGACTACAGGCGCCCGCCACCTCGCCCGGCTAGTTTTTTGTACTTCTTTTTAGTAGAGACGGGGTTTCACCGTGTTAGCCAGGATGGTCTCGATCTCCTGACCTCGTGATCCGCCCGTCTCGGCCTCCCAAAGTGCTGGGATTACAGGCGTGAGCCACCGCGCCCGGCCAAAATGTGTAGTCTTAACTAGGCTGGTGAAAGATATAAATATGCCCGGAGAAGTACGGCTTGTCTTTATGCCGTAGACCTTACACTTTGAGTATTCTTGGCACCATTCATTATCAGGGAGACATCAGATTTTGAGGTAACGTACTGCTGAATGGAATATATTTATTAATTATTTTGATCAGTTATTAAATATTTAATGAAATAGTGTACCCCATCAGGAGAAAATGTTTTTGAGCATAGTCCTCCAATATTTGGATATTTGTAAATTAATTATATATGGCATACTTTGTGTGTTAAATATTAGCCTTAGTCTCTTATTGTGAATATTTGTCACGTCAGAAGCCTTCCAATTTTTTTTTTTTTTTTTTGAGACGGAGTCTCACTCTGTCCCCCTTGCTGGAGTGCAGTGGCCGGATCTCCGCTCACTGCAAGCTCCGCCTCCCGGGTTCAGGCCATTCTCCTGCCTCAGCCTCCCAAGTAGCTGGGACTACAGGCGCCCGCCACCTCGCCCGGCTAGTTTTTTTGTATTTTTTAGTAGAGACGGGGTTTCACTGTGTTAGCCAGGATGGTCTCGATCTCCTGACCTCGTGATCCACCCGTCTCAGCCTCCCAAAGTGCTGGGATTACAGGCTTGAGCCACCGCGCCCGGCCAGCCTTCCAATTTTTGGTTGTATGTCTACATTTGCAAAATTGCCCATGTTATGGGTCAGGCCTCCTCAGTATGTGTACTAGTGAAAACTTCAATTCCCAGCTTCTCCCTTTTTTTTTTTTTTTTTTTTTTTTTTTTTTGAGACGGGCTCACTTTGTCACCCCGGCTGGAGTGCAGTGTCACCATCTTGGCTCACTGTAACCTCCACCTCCCAGGTGCAAGTGATCCTCCTGTCTCAGCTCTCCAACTGGCTGGGACTACAAGTGTGTGCCACCATGCCCAGCTAATTCTTGTGGGTTTTTTTGTAGTAATGGGGTTTTGCCATATGTCCCATGGTGGTCTCAAACTAAGCTCAAGTGATCCACTTGCCTTGGACTCCCAAAGTGTTAGGATTATAGGCGTGAGCCACCGCCCCCACCCTCCATGTTTTCTTGGATGCAGGTATGTGATCTGCAGACACACTCGGATGACTTCTCTTTGAAAGTACACAATGTAAGGAAGTGAAGGTTCTATTTATAACTTCCATTTTGCAGTTAGGAATGGCAGCAGGGTTGGTCAGCTTTAAGTGGAGGTAATAGTTGCAGATTGAGTTCTTAATAGAGATGTGGCTT